GTTCTATCCCCGGAAGCTAGTACAATTATGGCACATAGTACATACTTAATATTTGTCAAATTAATGGGGAAAGAGAGGATCCCTCTCCCCTGCAACTATAAGGAAAAAAGAAAGCATTCTTTATCATAAAGTTACTTCAGAGGATCTGAGTTGATAAGGTTTGAAGAAGAAAACTATTACAAGAATATTAATTTTGTCTGGTGCACTAAAGAGACTGGAAATTTCTAACTCCTTCCAACTTGCCCTGTTCCTTATTTTTTTTTTTTAAAGATTTTATTTATTTATTTGACAGAGACAGAGATAGCGAGAGCAGGAACACAAGCAGGGGGAGTGGGAGAGGGAGAAGCAGGCTTCCCGCGGAGCGGGGAGCCCGATGTGGGACCCGATCCCAGAACCCCGGGATCACGACCTGAGCCGAAGGCAGACGCTTAACGACTGAGCCACCCAGGCGCCCTGCCCTGTTCCTTATTAATATTACTCAGAAGCAACTTCTACAGGGTTTTCTGGGATGCCAAAAACTATAACAATTGTGGTCATGTCCAGTGACTGTTCCCTCTGGAAGGTTTTCACCCCGATGTGTTGTCTTACTTGATCATTTGCTGCCCTACTGACTTCCTGCATGTAGCCAATACAAATACAAGTAAGCTTTCTCATCAGATCAGAAGATCAATAGCCTTTTCCTCTTTTCTCATATGCATGATGGAAAATTAAATCCCATGACTCTGATGGATTATTTTACAAATAAAACTAGTGAGCCCACGTGGAATTAAATGGTACCCGGACCACGTACGACCGAACGTCGGGAATGCCTGAGCGTGGAAGGTGGCGACCCCTGCTGGCTGCCCAGACACAGGCTCACCCCGAAGCTTGTTGATTCCAAACAGGAATTTTTTTTTACATATATATAGAGAGAGATTTTATTTATTTGACAGAGAGATTGAGAGCACAAGCAGGGGGAACGGCAGGCCGAGAGAGAGGAAGAAGCAGACCCCCTGCTGAGCAAGGAGCCCGATGTCGGGCTCGATTCCAGGACCCTGGGATCATGACCTGAGCCGAAGGCAGTCACTTAACGACTGAGCCACCCAGGCGCTCCAGGAATTTTCTTTTAGTCTGAAAGGTACACCAAAATACTCTACAAAGGTTTGAATTAAGAGAGAACTTAATTTCTGTTATCCCAATTTTCTCATTTACTTTTTTTTTTTTTTTAAGAGTAGGCGCCATGCCCAATGTAGGACTTGAACTCACGACCCTGAGATTAAGAGTAGTGTGCTCGGGGCGCCTGGGTGGCTCAGTCGTTAAGCGTCTGCCTTCGGCTCAGGTCATGATCCCAGGGTCCTGGGATCGAGCCCCGCATCGGGCTCCCTGTTCGGCGGGAAGCCTGCTTCTCCCTCTGCCACTCCCCCTGCTTGTGTTCCCTCTCTCGCTGTCTCTCTCTCTGTGTCAAATAAATAAATAAACATAATCTAAAAAAAAAAAAAAAGTACTGTGCTCCACCGAAGGAGACAACCAGGCGCCCCTCCTAGTCTTAAATTTTTATAAACGTTCGTTGATTCAAAAAAACGTTTGTTCCTTCCTAGAGTCATCTAGCAAACATACTCCATTACTGTTCAAATGTGTGTGCCGTTGTTAGGAATTTCTTAGTAAATTTTGGACCTAAAATTCTGTACCGAGAATTCATCACCTGTACAATAAAAAAAAATGATTGGTACCACCAGCCTCTTAGTCTTGCGGTGCAAATATGCATTTATACTTCTGTGGACTGATAGAACTTCACCGGTAGAGAACACACAATTTGTCGTTCCAGATTATCCGTATTGGAAAGTGCACGGGCAAAAGTTAGGAAGTTCAATTAAAGTGTTTTGCTCCTATAATTGACCCTGTGATGGTGTGTGTGTGTAACCTACGTGATTGCAACATCACTGAGCACCCACAAGTTCAGGGATATCACACTGAAATACGCAGGTGGTAATTCATGCTTCCAGAGGCAAGGCCAAAGCCAACATTGATCGACACATTCTGGACAATTACTGAAGCCAAGGCCAAACTGATGCGCCCCAACATTACCCCCTGACTCCCCGCCCATGTGGAGGGCATTTAGAGTTTCCATATAAAGCAGGAATCCACGCCTTCTTTTCCAGCTCAGGACCCAGGTCCAAGATAACCCTCTGCAGCAAAAAGTTCCTTAAAACCTCTGTGATCTAGCAAAGGAGCAAAAAATGGAGTTTTCCTGCATTAGCATATGTTAATCCCCAACTTCAGGTTTTTTGTTTTTTGTTTTTTTTTTAGGGTCAAGCCAGTGAGGTCAAGTGCTGTCCATTTAAGAGGACCTGGCTGAAAAAAAAAAAAAAAAAAGAGGACCTGGCTGACCTCCCAGAGGTCAGAAGTCAAGATATCCCACTAAAAAGTTGTAGAAGGCTTTGATCACAACTAGCTTATGCACCTTGGGTTGGGGCCCGGAAGGTAAGACCAGCCAGCCCATTTGGGGTCCACGGTACCAAAAAGGGTACATCCTGGTTTATCTTGAGACTATCCTCCTCCTATTTATAGTGCCTTCTTAGGGCGCCTGGGTGGCTCAGTTGGTTAAGCGTCTGCCTTTGGCTCAGGTCATGGTCCTGCATTGGGCTCTCGGCTCAGCGGTAAGTCGGCTTCTCCCTCTCCCTCTGTGATATTTCTTGCTTTCTCTCAAATAAATAAAAATAAAATCTTAAAAAAATATATAAAGTGCCTTCTTTTTAGATCAGCATTTTGTACTGGTACCAAGGAGACTTTTTTTTCTTTTTGTTGTTAAAGTTTTAAAAATTGTTGAGGCATTAGCTTTGTTCACTGGAAACTGAGCCTTTTTGCTGTCAAAAATTTTAAGGCAACTTCCATTTTAAAAAGGTTTGGAACTGAGCAGGCACTACAAGTCAAGGTTTTTGCTTTTGTTTTCATTCTTTTTCCTGAAAAGCCAGTTGTTAAATAGGTAGCAATGGGGGGGCCTCCCCAGATGATAGGGCCAGGTGAAGAGAGAGAAAGACTGGGTTATCTGAACAAGTGAGGAGCACTATGTCAATTTCACCTTCATGGACCATCATACACACGATCACCGATAGTTTTGAGCACTATATTATGTGCCAGGTACCGTTTTTTGTTTTTTTTTTTTAAAGATTTTATTTATTTATTCATGAGAGACAGAGGGAGAGAGAGAGAGAAGGAGAGGGAGAAGCAGGCTCCCAAGGAGCAGGGAGCCCGATGCGGGACTCGATCCCAGGACTCTGGGATCATGACCTGAGCCGAAGGCAGATGTTTAACCATCTGAGCCACCCAGGCGCCCCCAGGTACTGTTTCTAAGGCTTCATGTGGACCAATTCATTTCTTTGCACAAAAAGTCTTTGAGTTGTGCACTATTATCCACCTATTTTAAGGAGAATGAGGCCCAGAGTATTACCTTCCTTGACTGGGAAGGTGGATGATGGAGTATCTGTCTGGATTAGGTCAGATTAAATTTAGACAGGGTATTCAGGGTGCCTGGGTGGCTCAGTTGGTTGAGCGACTGCCTTCTGGATTTGGTCAGATTAAATTTAGACAGGGCATTCATTCAGCAGGACCCGAAAGAGTGACCCACGGTGTTCTAATCCCCCTCCCTCCCAAACCACCCCACAGCGGGGAGGGGACAGTCTGCTTTATCTCTGTGACCCTGGCGTTAGGGAGGTCCTCAAATATTCTTTTCCCTCTCTCCTTCCAGGCACATGGACAGACCGCACTTCCCACCATCCCTCCCCTTTGAAGTTACACATCATCGAATGACCTGCTTGGGCCAACAGATGCCGAGTGGAAGTGACATGTTTCGTACCCAGGCAGAAGCTGTAAAAGTCACCGCAGCTCCGCCACTTTCTCTCTCTTCCCAGTGCCGAAGAATTGCCAACGCTCCGGAGAGATGCTGTTCCCTCAGCCTGGGGCACAAGGATGATGTGGAGCAGAGCCCTGAGGTGACGCATAAAAGACCAGTAACACTGGCGAGTGATAAACCTTTGCTGCATGAGGCCACTGAGATCCTGGGCTTGTTTGTTACTGGAGCATAACCCAGCCTATCCTGACTGATACATCCTAGTTTTCAGTAGAGCCTGAAATGTGGCGGTCTTAAAAAAAAAAAAAAAAAGGAAATAGGGGCCCCTGGGTGGCTCAGTCAGTTGAGCGTCTGACTCTCGGTTTCGGCTCAGGTCATGAGCTCATGGGTCATGGGATCCAGCCCGGCTTCAGTCTCCCTGTGCATCGGGGAGTCTGCTTGAAGATTCTCTGTCCCTCCCCCTACTCGCTCTCTCTTTCTCTGTCTCTCTAAAATAAATAAATGAATCTTAAATGAATGCATGCATGAATGAATGCATGAATGGGCATAGGGACAGGGTCATACACTTCCAGGCTGGAGGTAAAGAGCCACATCTCAAGCTTGCTCACACATACACACTTGTAACTACGCTGGGGTCAAACTCAGGCTCTGACCTTTATTTCCTCTGGTCAGAGCTCATGCTGACCCCGACATCATTGCTCCAATTCTTCCCCCCGCTGCTCAGTACTGGGGGCTCCCGGAGAGGGTGAGGAAGGAGGAGCTACAGAGACAGGGACATGAGGTACAAGGAGAGCCTGGAAGACAGATGCAGGAGAGAGGATTAGAGGTGAGGAAGCAGAAACAGGAGGTGGTCGGGTGGGGGACAACCAGAGGGGTTAGGGCAGAGCTGGGGAGAGAGCTGCAAACCCAGTACAGAGACACACTGAACGGGAAGCCGGGAGAACAGGAAGTTGGGAGACAGGAAGGGAAAGGAGGGTTGGGAACAGAAAGGGACCAGTCCACAGAGCTGAGGACACGGCGAGGAGCGGGTGGAAACAGACGGGGACAAGGTGCAGGGCAGGTGCAGGGCAGGTGCAGACAAATGTGGCGGAAGAGAGACGTGGAGAGTCACAGGGAAACCTCGAGGCAGAAACGCCAAGAAGGCTAGCAAGGAGCCACGGGCAGGGTGGGCGCCCTAGTCTTTGCTGGTGGTGGAGCCCCTGTCGGTGCTGGAGATGGGGCCAGGGCTCGAGACTTGGCCTCTGCTGGACCCGAGGCCTCCACTCGATTCTGACCCCATGCCTCTGCTCTCCGCACCTGCATGGGTTTCGTGGACGCCGCTGGACCCCACGTAGCCAGTGGACCCCAGGTAGCTACTAGAGCTGGGGGTCCTGAAGGTCACACGGCCCCCCGTTGAGACCCGGCTGGAACCGAAGGTCACGTGGCCTGTGCTGGAGCCAGGATCACCAAAGGTGACACGGCCGACATTGGAACCGGTGGCATGGCCTCCACTGGACACCAGGATGCCACTAGTCCTCTGGCTCAGGATGGACCCGGGGATGATACTGGGGCTCTTGGCGATCACCAAGGGTGAGCCGGAGGTGACCCTCTGGGTGCTGGAGAGGCTGGGGACGCTCGGGGTGTTATCGACCTTCTTCATGGCCTCAGCCAGTTCCTTCAGCTGCTGCTCCCGAGCCAACTCCCGAGCCAACTCCCGAGCCTCGAGCTGTGGGGGAGGCGAGTTAGGTCCCAGGAAAGGGTGAGGTCCTGCCCGGAACCCGGCAGGTTCCCATCCTCACCAGCTTTGTCACTTGGCTCCGCAGCTCTTCCTCACTCATTGGAGCGTCATCTTTGGCCTCAAAGCCTGGAGTATCCTCCCTAAAGTGGGGGGAAGGCAGGGAGGGAGGACACTTGTAGCCACAAAAGGCCGATGGCCCCTCATTGTTATACCCAGAGACCATTAGCCATGCTCTGCCCAGCCTGGGTGCCCTTTGCCTTTCTGGTCTCCCTGGGGCCAGTTCAGTTCTCTGGAGCCCCGATTCCTCCTGGTCTCCCCCCAAAGCCCTCCATCCCATTCACTGTCCCTCTGCCCCCATGGAATCGCCTTCCCCTGCTCCTCCTTCCTGCCCTGTGCCTCACTGGTTCTCAGGGAGCTGAGGTGGGGCCATCTTCTTTGGAAGATCCTCAGGGCTCTGGCCCAGCACCAGGAGGGCAGTGTTAACCGAGCTCGGGGAGCTGTCGTTCTAGAGGGTGGATAAACCAGTGGTCAGCTCATCCCCAAGGCTCCGGCTTCCAAGATTCGGGCTCCCTGTCCCCGCCCCCCCAGAGCCCCCTGCATCTCCACCTGAAAATCTAGGTAGGCCTGCACGGACAGGAGCTCGACCAGCCGCTTCTCGATGAGGCCCAGGAAGAGGCCAATGTCTCGGTCTCGCATGTGGGTCTTGACCCCCAGGAGGTCCTTGATGATGGTGTTGTCACACTGGGCCCTGGTGAAGAGCTGCTGGATGTCTGAGGTTTGGGGGGCGGGGGGGACAGGCTGTCACAGACTCAGCTCCCGCTGGGAGGCCCGCCCTCTCCTGCCCTCAAGTCTCCGCTCGCTGCCCCCTCAGCCAGCCAGGCAGCAGGAAAGCGTGGCTGTGGGCCTGGCCACGGGGCTCGGAACCACAGAAGCCAGAAGGTGAGGGAGGGCAACGGGAAAGCCGGTAAAGGCATCACCAACCTTCAGGGCCTTCTTCACGCAGCTCCGTCAGAAACACCCGACTTCCATCCCACCCAGCGACCCCACCCTGCCCCACCCCCCCCAGAGAAGCACTCACACGGGTGCTGCATGGGAGAGGCCGGAGGACAGCCATGCACCACCAAGGCTGCCTTCTTCGTTTTTTTTTAATATCGGCCTCCACTTGCACCCGACTGAATTAGCCGTGGCCCTCGGCTGCCCCCCCTGCCACTGTCATGACCCACCCTCGGCTCTCACAGTTGGCCCGTGGGTGGCCCACTTGTATCTGGTTATTGTTTCAGGGGAACTGGCTATTGTTAGTGACATCAGAAGGCACCCGTGACCTTGACACAAATCTGCAGCCCATGGCACTGCATCTCCACCGCTTGTCCCCGAGCTGCCTCCGCCTGAGCTCCCGACTCCTATACGGTTTCCTCCTGGGGTCCCTCCCTGAACATCCCCCCACAGGGCTCAACCAGGCTCAGGGTCATCCCCAAACCCACTCCTCCCAAGTACCCCTGCCAGGCCAGATCCTGTGCGACCCCCCCCAATCGCCCCCCCCCCCGGCCCATCCGTCCGATTCCTCTGGGTCCGGTCCCTTCCTCTCCATCATCCTTCTCTTCCTCCCCCCCGGTTCCCATCCATGGCCTCTCCTGCTCACAGCCCTCCCATGGCTCCCCAGTGCTCCAGCCTGGCACCTCTTCACAACCTGCCGCCCTCCCCCTCCCACTCACACCCTTGCACCCCTTCTCCACACAAAGAGCCTACATTCCCAGAAGTATCTCCAGGCCTTGACCCCACCTGCTAGGAGTACCCCCTACCTCCAACTTCTCAGTTAAATATTCATCCTTCAAAATCAGCCTCAAGCATCACCGCTTCCAGGAAGCCAGCAGCCACCCAGCATGGCCAGTTTCAGCAAGCGGCAGGTGCAGGGGCTCAGGGCGCCAGCACTCAGGAGGGCCCCGCCTCGGGCTTGGTCCTCTGCTGTCCCGTCTTGTTTAACAAAGGGCCCTACCTTTCCATTCTGTACTGGGCCCAGCCAATTCCGGCAGAGTTGAGGCTCCCACGGTGCCTGAGGGTCCTCCGTGCTAGGCCCTGAGATGGTTGTGAGTACCCAGGGTCCCTGCTGGTCTTCTCCCACCCCTGCTCTCGGGGCCCTCCTCACTTAACACCAGGCATGGCGCATTGGTCATGGTCATGGTCACGGTCATGGGGTCATGGTCATGGTCAGGTCAGAAAAGGAGGATCTTCCTGGACCTGAGCTCTTACTGTGTGTGACCACGAGGTGGCTCCTCGGCTTCCTCGCCAGCACCACGGCCACTTTCGTAGCTTCCCGTCGGTGAGCCCATCCGATTCTCACGACAACCCACCAAGTACGCACTGCCATCCCGTTGCCAGGGGGGGCTCAGGCCCAGGAAACCACACACCAAGGTTCCCAAATAATGGAGCTGGCTTCAAACCCGGAGCAGCCTGACTCTTGAGCACTCTACACTGGATGGACGGCGGGATGGACGGCGGGATGGACGGCGGGAAGGACGGCGGAATGGACGGCCGGATGGATACGGGACGGACAGACGAGCCAGCGCACAAAGCCGCTGTGGAATGTCTGCCCTTGCCGGCCCCGGGCTGGGCCCTCCGGGTGGCTCACCACATCCTTCCACATGAAAAAGCTGGGCCAGGCGCTCACCCGCCTTGAGCTTCTCCAGCTGCCCGCGAAGGTCCTGGAAGCTGGCCTCGACCCGGACGGCCTCGGCGTGCACCTCGTCCGCGCGCTGCTGCAAGTCCCTCCGCTGCTGCTCTTGCTGCGCGCGCACGTCATCCTCGCTGGCGCGCGTGCTCGCCAAGGCCGCCTGCATCTGCGGGGTGGGGAAGGCGCCCATTGCCGGGGGCAGCCCGGGGAGTGGGGCGGCCGCGCGCAGAGGAGATGGGGGAGGGGGGAGCGGAGCGGGGAGCCTCACGCGCCTCCTTGATCTCCTCCTGCAGATGCTCCAGCTCCGAGTTCTGCTCGTTGATGAAGGTGAACTCCGCGAAGTTGCGCTCCTCCACTGGAGAGAGGCGGGAGAGGCGGGTCCGGAGAGCCGGAGACGGACGGACGGACACACGGGACAGGGAAAGACAGATGTCGAGAAAGAACACAGACCCATGCCCGCAGAGGCAAAGAGAGACGGAGAGGGAGAGGCACAGAAAGCCAGGGGAGACACAGAGGAAATCGGAGCAAGTCGGAGTAAGAGAAACAGACGGCGGCAAAGTCAAGAGAGACCCAGAAATACTGCGAGACTCAGAGACCCAGAGGAAGAGAGAAGAGAGGGCGAGAAAACAGCAGAGGGAGGGAGAGGAGGACCCGGGAGAGGACAGCAACAAGTACCCGGAGGCAAAGACACAGAGCTTGAGGGAAGATCTGGAGAGAGACCGGGAGGCCCGTAATGGGGCGGGGGGGGGGGCAGGGACACAGACACACCCAGAAACAAACGGACATAAAGACACACGGAGGGGACTGAGAGGTGCAGGCCAGAGGGAGACACACACACACACAGAAGGAAGGGCTCAGAAGGCCCGAGACGGGGAGGGAGAGAGACTGGGGACAGGGCGAGAGGTGCAGAGGCTGGGCGGCCGAAGAGTTGGCGAGGAGGGCGCGCCTGACGCCCCGAGTCTCCAGCGCAGCTGCTGGAGTCCCCAGGGCCCCCCAGGAGGCCCTCAGTGACTGGGACGGAGCTCAGCCTGCGCCTGATGGGGGCGGGGGGCGGGGGTCCCGCGCCTGGACCTCCTCCCTCCGCCCCGCCGGCGCGGCCCCGTACTCACTCTCCAGGTACTTCTCCACCAGTAGGTCCGGGTCGCTTTCCCCGGTCAGCTGGGACAGTTTGTTCATGGCGTCCTCACAGCGCATCACCAGCTTCTCCTGGGAGGTCTTCCGGAGGCCCTCGGCCACCTCGCGGGCTGGGGGAGGAGGGGCACTGAGGTCGGCGCCCGCGGCTGCCAGGGGCGCAGCAGGACCTGGGTGGGCTGAGCGAAGACCGCGTGCGCCCCGGCCGCTCCGACCCGGGAGACCCCGAGCCCCGCGGGCGGGGCGGCCCGGCCCCGGCCTCACAGCGTTTCTCGCGCTTCTCGACCACCGCGGGGTCCGGCAGCCGATCGCTGTTCTTGAGCTTGAGGAAGCGGTGCAGCTGCTCCAGGTGCGCGATCTGCCGCTCCAGGGTCTGCACCTCCGAGTCGTTCTGGGCCACCTCCTTCTCCGCCCTCTCCCGCAGCAAGCCTATCTTGCTCTTTGCCTCCTCCCTGGGGTGGGGTGGGATGGGTAAGTGAGCCCAGGGCTCAGGGAAACTGGGGGATCGGGGTCAGCCTGGGGTCCCAGGGTGGGGGCAGAATCAGGTTGCAGTTTCCCCGAGGTCACAAAAGGCAGAAAACTTTCCAGGTTCCTAGAGGTGAGTCAGGTTGGGGGGGGCGTTTCAATCGGGGGCCTGGGGGGTGTGCTGGGCCATGGAAGGGACTGATGGGGCATTGCTGCAGGGCACTCCCCGGGGCATCCGGGAAGCCTTGGCATGACCGCGTGAGCAATGGAACAGGAGGCGGGATGGTGAGGAGGGTACAGTCAGAGATTATACTCAGGCCCGGAAGGGCTAGACCCAGGTGATAAGGTAATGGTGCTGGAGTTTGGGGGTCGTGTGGTTGGAAATATAAGAGGCTTGAACCCTTCAGGGCCTCATGTTGGACAGATGGATGACATCACCAGCACTGACGCGCACACCCTTTTGAGGTATCAGGGACGCTCTAGAAGCCTCCATCCCTGAGCCCCTTCGGGCGGGCCCGTCGGAAAATGTGGCTTTTAAGCTTTTGAACACAGCGCGGTGCACTGTAAATTCCGAGGGTCCCAAAACTACTTCCTAGGTCACAGGGTCAAAGGTCAGAGGGTCATTATGTCGGGAGACTAGCAGGCCAGTGTCCTCAGGTCCCTGCCCATGGACCATTCTAGTTCCCACCTTCACACCTTTGCCTCCACCCAGAGCACCAGCTTCTTGCTCTGTTCAGATTCCTTTAAGACCTATGCACATCAGTCCTCAGTGGGAAGGCTCTTCTGGTGCCCACAAGTCCCAGCCCCAGTGACACCTCCAGGTGCTGGTGGCTTCCCTTCAGGGATTAGGACTCACAGCTCTTTCTGTGCCTTGGGCTCCATGCCAACCGAGAGGCAGGGAAGAGGCGCCCCGACTTGCTGAGAGCTAGGCCCTGCCATTATTATGGTCACGTCACAGTGGAGGAAACAGACTCAGAGAGGGGATGCGACCTGCCCCTGGTCATCCAACAAGGAAGCGCTGGAGGCCCTGGCTGGTCCGACTGGGAGTGCTGGCGGGCTAGCTGCCCAGGGCCTTCTAGCTGAGACCACCCTGTCCTGGTACCCAGCTGCACCGCCCACCGCCATCGGCGGAGGCTCCCACCACACGTGGCACTTGGCAGAAGAGAGGAGCCGGGCCACTCGGATTCTCTCTCTCAGAAACCAAATTGGGAAGGGCTAAGAATGGAAGAGCAGGGAGCTGCAGCTAGAAGGACGCGCGGAGAGAAGCCACAGAAGGTCGTGTTCTGAAGGTCGATTTCCCTGGAAGCCATGCACGAACAGAAGCTGTGAGACACAGTAGGGGCTCTGAAGGGGTCGTGGCGGACCAAAGGCAAGAAACTGCAGAGTCAGCCCCAAGAAGGAAGGAAATACTGATCTGGGCTACAACATGGGTGAACCCCAAAACTGCTACATTCAGCGAAGGAAGCCAGACACCAAGTCACTCGCTGCCATGAGATGCCGGGAACAGGGAAGTCGGTAGACACAGGAAGGAAACCAGTGATTTCCAGGGAACTGCGGAAGACAGAGTGCCTGCATATTGGGTACCGGCTTCCTTTTGGGGTGATGGGAGCATTTTGGACCCAGAAGCGAGTGTCCTAAATGCCACTGAACTGTATATTTCAACATGGTGAATTTTGTTATGTGTGTCTTAGCAAAGAAAGAAGAGGAAAAAGAAAAGAAAAGAAAAGAAAAATCGCAGCAACCATCAGGTAGATCTGGACTATCACAGATGTCCTGAGGAATCATGCGCCACGAGTCAGCAGAAGTCTGGAGGTGGAAAGAAGATACCGAGCAGGACCACTAGGCCATAGGAAACTGCTGGGAGCAAGAGAATAGGGCGGAAGCTCAGAAAGGAGCAGAGCTGGAGCGAGAGAGAGCAGGGAGCTCCTGCCAGCCCCGGGGACAGAGACGGGCCCATATGCACAACAGCCTGGGCTTCTGGATTCCACACACAGGACTCTGCCTGAAGGTGGCCCAATAGGATCTCTGTCCCTTTCAGTCAATACTGATAAGTAACAATCTAATTACCCTCAGGCCCCGATGCTTCCCCAGCCCCTGGCCCCTGCCACCTGAGGGGCTGCATGCACCATCTTGATTCATTCTCTCCACACCCCATGTGCTATGTGCTATTAACAGACTGGGGCCAAAGAGGTTAATCCATACACTCAGCGAGTGGGGCCTTGCCCGAGGAACTGGGAAGTCAGTGGAGGAGGGAAAGGGGCACCTCATAAAAAAAAATAATAGGTTATGACAGTCTGTTTCTAGAGTTCTGACCCCTCCTGCCAAAGCCTTAGAGCAAGGTGCGTACTGCCTGAGCTCAGTGCGTCCCCAGGAGGGTCCTTACCTGATGGTGTAGGCGGCTGCCGAGGAGACCATTAGGGAACTGACCATGTGTCGCAGAAGCTCGATTTCCTGCGAGAGAACAAAACCAATGTCCTTCCTACAGCTCCTCAGTGCAGGGCTTTCCCTTAGGCCCAAAAGCTCCCCTACAAGAAGGGGGTCTCCTGCGCCATCCAGATGTGTGGACTTCCCTCATTAGTGGCCGTGGAGGAAAGGGATCTTAAAGGGGTACCGAGTACAGGGAATGCCAAACTGATGAGCTGGAACGCCAGCTTAGAGGGCTTATCCCGGCGGAACCCTCAGCCCAGAACATTCTGAAGAGCACCGACCTAACTTTGTGGTCTGGTTCAGCAGTTTGCCTGAATTTCATAATGGTGACCACATGAACCTGTTTTCTAGTTCCAAAGAAATGTCTTTGCAGTATTATGGGTAAAAAGGGTTCTTTTCGGGAGAAAGAAGGGAGGAAATTACATATATATTTACACCCAAATATAACCTTATATATACATATATGCACACATATAAAGTGTGTTACACATACAGTCATTCATATACATATGTATATGAACACACACGCACACACACACACAGGGAACGAACTGGAAGAAATGGAGAGGAAATGGTGTTTCTCTGGAATACCTTTTGGAGTAGTTTTGGTTTGGGAACCCCTCTTTAAGGTTTACATATGCAGGGGACGCCTGGGTGGCTCAGTCGGTGAAGAGTCTGTCTTCTGGCTCAGGTCATGATCCCGGGATCCCGGGATCCCGGGATCGAGCCCCCGAGTTGGGAGGGGGTCCCTGTTCAGCGGGGAGCCTGCTTCTCCCTCTGCCTCTGCCCCTCCCCCCACTCGTGCTCTCTCTCTCTCTCTCTCTCTCTCTCTCTCTCACTCTCAATAAATAATCTTAAAAAAAAAAACCAACAACCAAGGGCACATCAAAAGCACATAGAAGCCAGCTTGAAGGGCTTCCACTAGCTCCCACTAACTTGTCTCCCTTCTCTGGGAACAAGTTGAACATCATAATGAATGATGATGGCCATGGAGCAAAGTAAGAATCCATGAATGCTTACTGATAACACACAAGTACACGGGGAAGAATGAGAAGCTTTCCCTAAGTAAAACACCTCCTACAACGTTCCTCTCATAGGAGGACCGAGAGAGGTAGATAAAAGATTGCCATTCAGCAGCCGTTATGACGGTAATCATCATCCGGGCAAGAACTGTTAATGGACACGCAAACAACCGAGCGGAAATGTGCCAGGGAACAGGATATTTACGTGGTCTCCGAGGAGCTCCACTTACTCCTCACAAAGGGAAAATTCCACTGGAGACACATGGCTGACCAAGGGACCAACATGGACATCACCAGTTAAGGGACCAACTTCCATCCTGTGCCTCCTACATAACGTGCACCCAGGACACAACATCACCTCTGAGATATTCTGCCCAAAATGCGCAGCACGAATCTCATCGTGAAGAAAATCAGACAGACCCATGTTGAGGGGCTTTGGTACAACAGAGCTGGCTTTGGACTGGCATTTTGGACTGGCTTCCAAAATGCCAAAGTCATGACGACAAAGCAGGGCTGAGGGATGGTTCCAAAAAGAGCCTTGGACAACCAGATGCAGTGTGGGACCCTGGCTGGGAGCCTGGAACAGGAAAATCAAATTAGCTATAAAGGATGTCATTGGGACCATCGGAGAACTTTAGACAGGGACTATTTAGAATTGTAATAACATTGAAATTCCTGACTTGGATAACTGCCCTGTGTTTCTGCAAGAAAATGGTCTTAAACTTAGGACATACTCACCGAAGTTCTTAGGGGCATAATGTCTGCCGTGTGCTCTCAAATAGTTCAGCAATCATAACAATAAATTATTTTCAGTAAAAATAATAATTAGAGAGTGTGTGTGTGCAAATATGGCAAATGATCAATCTTGGTGAAGGCTAGAGTTCTTTGTACTATTCTTCCAGGGAAGGGAAGGTGGAGGAGAAAGGGAAGGGTCCTCAGGGGACAGCAAAGGTTACAGAGATACCCACAGAATATAAATGGTTTTGCTGACTCATTGATTGCCCTGGCTGATGATATTCAAAATGACATCTCTGGCTTCTGCAAGTCTGAACGAGGCTGCTTTCTGTGTTAGAGGCATCTGACTCCAGCTGATTCCGTACTTGAGGCCACAGTGTTGGGGCTGGTAGGGTAACTCTTGAATCCTCTCCTGTACCCCGGCTGGGCCAAGGGGTCCTGGGTTTTAGGGCCACTGACCTTCTGCAGCTTGCGGTCCACGTTCAGGTAGCGGCTCCTCTCAATGCGCAGGAGATCCAGTTCCTCCCTCAGCACCGCATTCCGCACCAGCTGGATGTCAAAGCGACGCGTGACCTGGCGGGGGGTGAGGGGTGTACAAAACTCCATCTGAGGCCTGGCCTGCCTCCCTCTTCCACACTCAGCCAAGGAGTGGGCACTTGTCAGAGGTGGAGCCCGTTCCCAATTTGGGGACCCTGAGAGCATTGCCCAACCGCCCTAAGGACCCAGGCATCAGTCTCCTTTCCTTGGGAACCCTCCATCCATCCAGGATTGGGTCTCTTGATCCTTCTCTGGGAGCGCAGTGTTTCAGGCCTGCCTCCCTCCAGGAATCTGGTCCATCGTTTCTGGAACTTGACCCCGTGCTCAGTTTTCCCCCCAATGCCCAGAGATCAGGTCTGGAAAGAGCCAAGAGGATGATTCTCACCCTGTCCAACTGGTCTTCTAGGATCTTGATCCTTTGCTGGATCTTGACTTTCTGATCCAGGATGAGTCCTGGGGCCCTGACATCCTTACTATGGGCAAAGATCCGGGTCTCCCACTCCTGGATCTGGATGAAAGAGGAGGATAACCTATCTGTTGGCTGAATGTGGGAGAGACTGAGGCACCAAGAGAGGGTGAGTGGCTGAGTGTAGCTGCCATCTGCCATCCTTGTGGCCCCAGCCATCTGTTCTAATGATGCCCTTCTTCTTCTGCCTCTTCTGCTAACGATGCCCAACCTTCCATGTGGTTCTGGCTTCCAAACACAACAAGGCACCTTGCCAGCCACATGACCCAGGTCCCGACAATCACGGTGATTGTCCTAGGGATGGACTGGTTGACCGACCCAAGCTGAGCCAGCCTGAATCCCTTCCCAGTATTTTGGGGGAAATGCATGAGCTGGATGGATGGGACTCTGGGACTTGTGCTGTCATAGTCCCCAGCACACGGGGTTCCTGGGAGGATGAGGCCAGTAGACAAAGTGGAGACAAGAGACTGAGAGATGGTGAGAATGAGCTCGGGCTTTAGAATCCCTGGGTCTTATTATGCATGAAACCACTTCTAACCCATCCTCATTTCTGTGTTCATCTTTATTTGAGGGCATGCCGTCTCTCCAAATAAACTGGAAGCTCCACAAGGGCAGATTTTTGTCTTTTTTGACAAAAACCTACAGAGTAGGTTCTCAATAAAACATGCAGATTAAATGAATACATGAATTGCTTAAGACTGTGTTTCCCGGGGCGCCTGTGTGGCTCAGTTGGTTAAGTGTCCTGCTCTTGATCTCAGCTCAAGTCTTGATCTCAGGGTTGTGAGTCCTGTCCACCCCCCACACCCCTGCCACCGCAAATTCTTATGTTTAAGTGCTAACCCCAGTACCTCAGAATGTGGCCTTATTTGCAGACAGGGTCTTTACAGAGATAATCAAGTTAAGATGAGGTCATTAGGGTGGACTCTGATCCAATATGACCAGTGTCCTTATGCAAAGGGGAGATTTGGACACAGACAGGCATACAGGGAGAACGCCACCCTGCCAGCACTTTTGTCTTGGACTCCCAGGCTCCAAAACTGTGGGACAATAAATTCCTGTCATTTCAGCCACCCAAAGTTTGTGGTACTTAGTTACAGCATCCCCTAGAAAACTAATACATGCACCCAGGCACCCCAGAGCATCACTGCAAACTCAAAGGGAGCACCACGGGGATATTAAGTCTTGAGGGAGAAACACCGACGTGGGTCAGATACTGCATGAGCTACAAGCTCAAGGCAGTTCACAGGTTCAACACAAGGCAGCACCATGTTCCTTTCAATGAGTCACATCTTTGTGAAACTGCGTTTTTAGCCATTGCTGTCATAAAAAACCAAATATCCAAAAGTGTACAAGGAATCTCTCTGTATTACTTTTTCCAATTGCATGTGAAGCTACAATTATCCCAGTAAAATTTTCTTTTTTTTTTTAAAGATTTTATTTATTTATTTGAGAGATAGAGAATGAGAGACAGAAAGTATGAGAGGGAAGAGGGTCAGAGGGAGAAGGAGACTCCCCGCTGAGCTGGGAGCGTGATGTGGGACTCGATCCCGGGACTCCAGGATCATGACCTGAGCCGAAGGCAGTCGCTCAACCAACTGAGCCACCCAGGCACCCAATGATGATGACCCAGTAAAATTTTCAATTAAAAAAGAAGAAAGAAAGAAAAGCAAGTACTGCACAGAAATCAGCATGGAGTCAGAGTGGTAAGTCCAATCTGACTCCAAGACCAAAAGGCACAAACATCCCACAGGTAAGTAATTGTGGTTTTGGAGAATGAAATACAGTTTTTTTTTCTATTTGATATACATATATATATATATTTCCCCCCCAAATGGTCTCTAGGTTGTTAGGATGAAAACACTGGTTTATTTCAAGCAGATCTGTTGGCAGAACAAGACTGGACCCCAGAACAGCTCTTGAAAGCTAGCTGATTGTTCCATTTTCAGGAATTATATGAGTTAAATTATTGGTAGCTTGGAATTAACCACTGTATTCGTTTTTCTCTTTCTGCAAAACAAATTACCCCAAACTTGGTGGCTTAAAACAATACCCATCTATGATCTCGAAGTTTCCATGGGTCAGGAGTCCAGCCCAGCTCAGCTGGATCCTTTGCGCGGGGTCTCCCAGAGCTGCAGGGCTGCGGTCTCATCTTGGACTCATTGCGTGGTCCCCTGCCAGGTGGCCCTTTCTGTGGCATGGCAGCTTGTATCTTCACGGCCAGCCAGCCAGCACCTCTCTTCAGTCTACTAAGGGCCAGTCTAACAGAGCACACCTAATGAAGGGAGTGACATCCCCTCACGTGTGCTGTATTTTGTGGGCCAGAAGCAAGTCACAGGTTCTGCCACCACTGAAGGGGTGGGTAGTACACGGGGTCACCTTGGGATATGTTCACTACAGCCAAGACCAGAGTATAGGTTTCCCCATTATCTGAAAGTGGAGCATTCCTATGAGACCCTTCATAAGCCAAACAGGCATAAAGTGAAGAAGGAATTACCATTAATTCATATGGAAAAAATGTATAGCATTCCCCTAGCCCAAAAATAACCTCTCTTGGGCTTTTCTGATACCTTAGGACATACCTTGCTGACAGATGCACAAAATAAACTGAGATAAAGCACAGATGCTCACAGTGCAAAACTCTAGCAGCTGGATGCTAGACATGCTGAGTGTGGTCCCCAGGAAGGAGGTTGGGGTGGGGCAGGGGTGGGGGGACACTCTCACTGCATTCCTTCTGGAAGCTCCAGGGGAGAATTCATTCCATTGGAATGAATTCCAATTTCTAGAAGCTGGATTCCTTGATTTATGTATTCCTTAGCTCATGGCCACTCCAACCTCTGCTTCTCTTCTTCACATCTTCCTTCTCCATCATCACATCATCTTCTCTGATTCTGACACTTCTAGGTCTCCCCTATAAGGACCCTTGTGATGATATTGGGCCCACCAGGACAATCCAGGGTAACCTCCCCATCTTAAAATTGTTAACCACATCTGCAGAGTCTCTTTTGCCATGTAAAGTAACGTACTCAAGGGTTCCCGAGATTACAGTGTGGACATCTTGGTGGGGGTGGGGGGGCCATTATCATTCTGTCTACCATACTTCAAGTGAAATTCATTTTTTTTACTTAATAGTTTTATCACCCATGTATGTACCCCTAAGCAAAAGTTTAGTTTGGCCTGATTTTGAGTTTTATGTAAATGAAATCATGCTACTGTATCTTTTATGTCTTGCTTCCTTCCTTGTGGCTGTAATTGTGTTTCATTCATTTTTCATCACTGTATACTATTTCATGATAGAAATACACCACAATTTATTTATTCATTCAAATACTGATGGACATTTGGGTTTCTTCCAGTTTGGAGCTGGCTAATGTGACTAATGCTTCTTTCAACATTCCTTTACAGGAATCCTGGTTCCAGGGCATGTGCTCAGAAGTGTACTTGCTGGGTGGGAGGAAGAGTTAACAACAGATCTAAACCTGGTTTCTATTAGAAGGTGACTTTGGCTTACTCTCTTCCAACAGGGTGTTTCCATGGAAACATACGGGGCTAAGGTAAATATGGAACGCCAGCTCCGTTCCCAGGCAACAGTGTTTATTATAAAAATGACCCCTGATTGGTGAACTACATTGGACTAGAAGGACTGAGAGTGGGCTCATGGATCTCTAGAGCCTACATGACCAGCACTAAACAGAAACTTGGTTTCTCTGTGGGGTATTCTTTTTTTTAAGTTGTCTTCACACCCAATGAGGGGCTTGAACTCACGACCCTGAGATTAAGACCTGAGATCAACAGCCGGACGCTCAACTGACTGAGCCACCCAGGCACCCCTGTGGGGTATTTCTTATAATTGAGTATGCTCCTGGTGGCGGCTTTGACTTAGACCCTATCCTCATGAGCTGTTGGAGAAGTGGCTCCTCTTGTATATGAAGCCTCCCTATTCCAGAGTGGGCAACACCCAGCCGCTCATGCGGTATCTCCCAACTGGAGGTGCTTGCTGAGCAGCAGTCCCTGGATGCTCAGGGAAGGTGTGTTTGATGCTGTCATGCCAAGATGCTGTGGTTTCCTGCCCTCCATCATCCTACAAAGTGAACCTGGTACCAAGTTATATAGCCTATTGCATCCTGTGAGCGTGAATGTCAGGTGGAACTCAAGACTGCTTCTGATGACCATGCCAAGTGGGGGTGACCCCGAATCACAGGGTATGTCTATCTGTAAATTTAACTGATAATGGGGGAAAAAAAACTTTTCCGAATACCCATGACAATTTATACCCTCAATGGTAGTTCATTAGGAGTTCCCACTTGCTCCTTCTCTCCCCAACACTTGGTATTTGGGGACACTAATTTTTGAACATTTGGTGAGTGTTTAATGGACTCTCATTGTGATTTTCATTTGCCCCTCTCTGATTACTAATGAGTGATGAGTAATTCTGACATTTATTGGACATCTGAATTTCTTATTTTGTGATGTGTCAGCTCAAATCCTTTGACTATTTTTTAAAATTGGGCTGACTCAGCACCTGGGTGGCTCAGTCGGTTAAGCGTCTGCCTTCAGCTCAGGTCATGATCCCAGGGGCCTGGGGTAGGCTCCCGCATCAGGCTCCCTGCTCCACAGGGAGTCTGCTTCTCCCTCTGCCCCTCCCCCCACTCATTCTCTCTCTTTCTCTCTCAAATAAATAAAATATTTTATTTTTTATTTTTTTAAATCAAATCTTTTTAAAAAATAAGTAAATAAATACAATCGGGCTGACTCTTCAATAATTTGTAGGAGTTCCTTCTATGTTCTTGATACTAGTCCTTTGTCAGCTACATGTGTTGCAAATAACTTTCCATTCCGTGACTTTGCACACTCTTTTAACAGAATATTAACCTTAAAGTCCTGGGAAGCGACGATCTTTTCCTTTAGAAGTAGAGATTTCTATAACTTATTTAAGAAATCCTTCCCCACCTTCACATATTTAGATCTCTGGTCCATCTGGAATTAGTTTTGCGGGTACAAGGTGAGGTAAGGGCCTGGTTTCATCTTACAATATGAATATCCAA